TATTATTATTATTATTATTATTATTGTTGTTGTTATTATTGTAGTAGTAGTAGTAGTAGTAGTAATAGTAGTAGTTTTCACGAAGTTTTCATATGGCACACTTTTATATCCAAACATAAACAGAGCCATTTTCTAAAAAAAGTAATAGAATTTTTTTAAGTAATCCTACATATTTTCATTTATTATTTGTTTAAACATTATTTTTAGTGGTTATTCATATTTGAATCGGCGCTCCGTTTATTTATTAAACAGTATATTTATTTATTTTAATCTAGTGGCCTGAATATTCGAGGAATTTTATTAGATCGTTTAAGGTACGTCGGATCTAACGATGGCATTCCTCTATGCAGAGGGACATACGTTCGAATCCTGCCGGAGATTGTATTTTTTCCTTTAATAAGAATTCTCGAATATCCAGGCCGGTAGACAAAAATAAATAAAGATACTATTTAATAAGTAATCGGAGCGTCTACTCAAATATGAGAATCCCCATAAAATAACGTTTAAAGTGATTGATGTGTGTGTGTACGTATATATATATATATATATATATATATATATATTCTATATTCAACACCATCACTTGATAAGACACCAGAAGTGTTGAAACAAAATGACTATTTTTGTAGTGATTTTTTAACATGTTTATGTTATAGTTTTCGAATGAATTATATTTGCTTTACTCTGTATTGAGTACTCTTTTAAGAATAGTATTTTTGGTTATTTGAATTTATTTTATATACACTAATCCTATACTTGGATATATATATATATATATATATATATATATATATATATATATATATATATATATATATATTCAAAACCTGCGGAGGGTCGTTTGGGAACCTTGTGGCATTCGCTGCACCAGGTCTCTGTATTCGTCCCTTCAAAAGTCTGGATGGTCCTGCACGAAGCCTTCACCACTATAATCAAATCTTATGTGCCGGTGTCGGGCTGACGGTTTCCTGAAACTGATCTGCTTGACCCTCATACGTCGAATCTCGACAGGAGAGTCGATTATATATATATATATATATATATATATATATATATATATATATATATATATATATATATAATAAATTAACTGATTTAAAATATGATCTAAGCGAGAAGAAAGGGCGAAACATAAACTGCGAGAATAGAGAATACATAGTTGTTAGCAAAAGGGACAGCCCAAAATGAAAATTAAAAATCGGGGATGGCAAAATCAGACAAGAACAAAAATTTAAACATATGAGGAGCGTTCTAACAGAGAACGGAAAATGTGGCACAGAAATCCGAAGATGCATTGGATAGCGAAAGATGCCTCCCAAAAACTAAGCAGAGTATTTAGAGACAGGAAAATTTCGTTAGAAACAAAGAAAAGAGTACTGAACTGTTACCTGATATCTGTCCTCATATGTGACAGTGAATGCTGGACAATCTCCTCAAAGATGATGGTGAGACTTGAAGCAACAGAGATGTGGTTCTATAGAAGGGCGCTGAGAATACCATGTACCAAATATTTGAGCAACAAAGAGGTTTTAGAGAAAATGGAAACAAAAAGGAAAATTATACTTAATATCAGAAAGAGGCCGTGGAAATTTCTAGGGCACATAATGAGGAAGGAGGGCTTGGAAAATCTGATACTCACAAGACAGGTTGAAGGAAAAGAAGGACAGGGGAAAAACAGCACATAACATACTTGATGAGCTTAAATAAATGGATGAGATAACAGGGTTTAAGAGAAATAACTAAAAGACAAATTTTGTTAAGAGTTACAGTGGACAGGAAGTAGTGAAGAGTCATGAACACCACTGTCCTGAGGTGACAGGGAACAGAAAGAAGACTCGCCTAGATAACAACAACAACAATAATAATAATAATATAATAATAATAATAATAATAATAATAATTTTGCAATTTAAAATGATTTTTACAGTTTCGTTTTACGAATACAAATTTGAAAAAAGTAAAGACTTTCAGATTGAAGGAGCAATACGTACTGAAAGATTTGAGGTGTTTTCAGAAAGAAAAAATGAAAGATGAACTGAAAAGAATGTCAGTGAAAAGAAAAGAAAAGGCGAAAAGAAAAAGCAAAAAGAAGAGAAGAAAAAGGGGAAAAAAGAACAAACAAAAGATAAAAACAAAAAGAAAAACCGAAAGAAACCCCAAAAAGAAAGCACAAAAAGAGAAAGCGAAAAGAAAAAAGCAAAAGACAAAACGAAATAAAAACCCAAAGAAAAAACGAAAAGAAAACTCAAAAAGAAAAAGCGAAAATAAAAAACGAAAAAAAATATGAGATGAAAAACATAAAAAGAAAAAACGGAAAGAAAAAGCGAAAAGATAATAGGAAAAGAAAAAAGGAACAGGAAAAGAAAAAAGGCAAAGGAAAAGAAAAGTAAAGGCAAAAAAGAAAAAACGAAAATAAGCGAAAAGAAAAAGGAAAAGAAAAATCGAAAAGAAAATCGAAAAGAAAAATCTAACAGTAAAAAACGAAAAGAAAAAGTGAAATGAAAAAACGAAAAAAAAAAAACGAAAAGAAAAAGCGAAATGAGAAAAACAAAAGAAAAAACGAAATGACAAAACGAAAAGAAAAAGTGAAAAAAATAAAAGAAAAAAAAAACCGACAAGAAAACACGAAAAGAAAAAGTGAAAAGAAAATCGAAAAGAAAAATCGAAAAAAAAACGAAGAGAAAATGCGAAAAGAAAAAAAACGAGAAGAAAAAACGAAAAAAAAACACAAAAAGAAATAACGCAAAAAGAAAAAGCTAAATGAAAAACGAAAAGAAAAAACGAAAAGTAAAATCAAAAAGACGAAAAGAAAAACTGAAAAGAAAAACTGAAAAAAGTGAAAAGGAAAAGCGAAAAGAAAAACGAAAAGAAAACGCAAAAAGAAAACACGAAAATAAAAAAGGAAAAGGAAAACGAAAAGAAAAAATGAAAAAGTGAAAAGACGAAGCGAAAAGAAAAACGAAAAAAAAACGTAAAGAATAAATGAAAGGTAAAAGACAAACGATAAACGGAAAGAAATAATAAAAAGAAAAAATGATAAGAGAATTTGAAAAGAAAAAACAAAAGAAAAACAAAAAGAAAAGCCCCCCCCAAAAAACACGAAAAGATAAAGCGAAAAGAAATTCTCAAAAGAAAAAACTAAGTGAAAAATCGAAAAGAAAAAACGAGAAGAAAAAGCGAAATGAAAAAAGAAATGAAAAAACGAAAAAAACTAAAAGAAAAAGTGAAAAGAAAAAACGAAATGAAAAAGCTAAAGGAAAAACGAAAAGAAAAAAATGAAAAGATAGAGCGAAATGAAAAAACGAAAAGAAAAAGCGAAATGAGAAAAGGAAAAGAAACTCAAGAGAAAAACGAAAAGAAAAAACGAAAAAAAAAAAAAACAAAAAAAAAAAACCGAAAAGGAAAAGCGAAAAGAAAACACGAAAAGAAAGAGCAAAAAGAAAACACGAAATTAAAAAATGAAAAAAAAACGGAAAGAAAAAACGAAAAAAAAAAAAACGAAAAAAAAGTGAAAAGGAAAAGCGAAAAGCAAACACGAAATTAAAAAAATGAAAAGTAAAACGAATAGAATAAATCGAAAAGAAAAAACGAAAAAGTGAAAATACAAAACGAAAAGAAAAAACGAAAAGAAAAACTGAAGAGAAAAACAACGAAAAGAAAAAAGTAAAAGAAAAAGCGGAAAGTAGAAGCGAAAAGAAAAAAAACGTAAAAAAAAACAAAAGAAAACGAAAAGAAAACACAAAAAAAAAAGCGAAAAGAAAAAAACGAAAAGAAAAAGCGAAAAGAAAAAACGAAAAGAAAAAGGAAAAGGAAAAGGAAATGAAAAAAAAAAAAAAAAACGAAAGAAAAATCGAAAAGGAATTCTCAAAAGAAAAAACGAAATGAAAAAGCGAAAAAAAATACGAAAAGAAAAGACAAAAAGAAAAACAAAAAGAAAAACGAAAAGAAAGAGCGAGATGAAAAAAACGAAAAGAAAAACCAAAGAGAAAAAAACGAAAAGAAAAAGTGGAAAGAAAACACGAAAAGAAAAAACGTAAAGAAAAAACGCAAAAAAAAAAACGCAAAAAGAAAACACGAAAATAAAAATGAAAAGAAAAATGGAAAGAAAAACAAAAAGAAAAAACGAAAAAAAGTGAAAAGGAAAAGCGAAAATAAAAACGAAATGAAAAAGCAAAAAGAAAGCACGAAAATAAAAAAAAATGAAAAAAAAAGCGAAAAGAAAAAAACGAAAAAAAAAAGCGTAAAGAAAAAACGAAAAGAAAAAGACGAAAAAAAAACCTGAAAGAAAGAACAAAAAGAAAAAAACGATAAGGGAAATCTAAAAGAAAAAGCGAAAAAAAGAAGAAAAATGAAAAGAAGAAGTGTAAAGAAAAAACAAAAACAAAAAAACAAAAAGAAAAAACGAAAAGGAAAAACAAAAACAAAAAACCAAAAAGAAAAAACGAAAAGGAAAAGCGAAAGCAAAAAACCAAAAGAAAAAACCAAATGAAAAAGTGAAAAGAAAAACGAAAAGAAAAAGCGAAAAGAAGAAGCGAAAATTAGAAGCAAAAAGAAACAAAAAACAAAATGGAAAAGCGAAAAGAAAACACGAAAAGAAAAACCAAAAGAAATAAGGAAGTGAAAAAGAAAAAGGAAAAGAAAATAAAAAGCGAAAAGAAAAAAAGAAAAAATAAGCGAAATGAAAAAACGAAAAGGAAAAGCGAAAGGAGGAAACGAAAAGAAAAAAAAAAACGAAAAGAAAATTGAAAAGAAAAACGAAAGAAAAAAGCGAAATGAAAAAAACGAAAAGAAGAAACGAAAAGTAAACGCAAAAATGAAAAAAAGAAAAAAAAAACGAAAACAAAAAGCGAAAAAAAAGTGAAAAGAAAAGAACAGAAAGATAAAATAAATCAAAGAAAGAAAGAAAACGAATAAAAATAGACAGCGAAATAAAGAATAGTTAAGGAAAAAAAGGAACAAAATGAGAAAGGACGAAATACATAAGAAAAAAGGAAGAAAAATTAGTTTAAAAAGAACGATAAAAAAAGAAAAATAAAAGCGAAAAAAAAAAAAAAAGGAAATGAAAGAAAAGACAAAGAGAATTGAAAAAGGATGAAAACGGAAAAAAAAGAAAGTATAAAAAGGAAAATGACAAGAAGAAAAATGGATACGAAGAATGAAAGAAAGAAGTAAGAGAAAGATAATGAAGAAAAGGGAGGGGCAGAATGAATGATAAAAAGAAATTTAAAGAAACGAAAGAAAAAGAAAGAAGGAAAAAGACAAAAAGAGTGAAGGGTTACAATTTTCACTATAATATCTTTGTAGCAGAACTAGATAAATAAATAAATAAATAAATAAATAAATAAAAAAGACAGAAAGAAAAAGAAAGAAAAAACGAAGACTAAAGAATCCAAATAGAAGTAAAAAAAAGAAAGAAAAAATTATTTATGACTGAGCCTAATACAGTAGAATCCCTGACAACCGGACTAAGACGGCCTTCCGGATATGAGGAATTGGTTACAAAGTCCGGATATGAGGGATTCCGGATATGAGGGATTCCGGATATGAGGGATTCCGGATATGAGGAAATGGTTACAAAGTCCGGATATGAGGGATTATATTTAGATTAAAATAAAAGAACTGAAACCAGGTATAACATTTATTTTCAATGTTTTATAGTAAACAAAATAAGCTGATGGTGAGTGAAATATAACGGAATTGTTTTTAAGGAAAAAGAAATCAATTATGTAATGTTAATTAAAATTCATCAAATTAAGTATGCCACGTATGCAAAACAAATAATGTAATGAGGATTTTTAATCGTTGTTTCATGATGATTCTTTCTCTTTTAATGTCATTCTCAACTTTTTCCGCATTTCGTTTTACTTTTGTTCTTGAAATTTTTTTAAACGAAAGGAACTTTTTTTTTTAAACCTTTTCGTGCATTATTGCAATCTTCATAGCTGAATGCTGGCTTTCTTTCCATAAAACTGACAACCTTTTCTTTAGTTTTATAAATTTCAGTCCAAGTTTCATCACAATTGTGTTTTTTATTTCCTTGTTCATTGTGACAATGTGAACGCTGGAGAATAGTTTCTTTGGAAGATTTTATATCATACAATGTTGATTTTCCTATGTTGAACTCAGTCATTAATTACAATGAATTTTCACCAGCGTCTAGTCTGTTTAAAGTTTCCACTTTTTGTGATAACTCCAAAGTTGTTCTTTTCCTCATATTCCCATCATCTTTTGCACCAATAAAAGCCATTTGGGTGAAATAAGGATAAGCAATTATCCAAAGTAAATTCGGAAATTTAAAATCAGTTACGTATCACCCAAAATAGTTCAAATATACACATCAAAATCATGTCCGGATATGCGGGATTCCGGATATAAGGCACTCCGGATATGAGGGATTCTGCTGTATTGTTAAAGAGGAAAAGATTCAGTTATCAGGTTTAATAATGTTTTTGTAACTGCAATTTTGTATCGATAAGTGTTTTCATTTTGGTAGTTAAACAAGTGGGAGTTAATAGTTGTTTAAGAGAGAGTTTTTAAGATTGAACACAATAAGGACAGTAAGAAGTGATTTTCATTGGTGCTAATTCCGTATATACGGGATTCCGGATATGAGGGATTACGGATATGAGGGATTCCGGATATGCGGGACTTTTTAAGCCAACCGATATTATTTGACCGAGTAGAAGTGTGTTAAATATATTTAGGAAAGGCTTAAGAAATCAAGAAAGAAAGAAAGAAAGAAAGGAAGAAAGACAGAAAGAAAGAAAGGAAGACTGAGAAGTAAAAAGAAAAAGAATACGTTAGCATTAAGAAAGAAAGAAAGAAAGAAAGAAAGAAAGGAAGACTGAGAAGTAAAAAGAAAAAGAATACATAAGCACTAAGAAAGAAAGAAAGAAAGAAAGAAAGAAAGGAAGACTGAGAAATAAAAAGAAAAAGATTACGTAAGCATTAAGAAAGAAAGAAAGAAAGAAAGACTGAGAAGTAAAAAGAAAAAGAATACGTCAGCATTAAGAAAGAAAGAAAGAAAGAAAGACTGAGAAATAAAAAGAAAAAGAATACGTAAGCATTAAGAAAGAAAGAAAGAAAGAAAGAAAAAAAAACAAAGAAAGAAAGACCAAAGAATACAAATAGAAGTAAAAAAAGGAGAGAAAAAAATTGTAGGGAATGAGAAAGAAAAAGAAAAGAAGACGTGTCAAAGCAGTAAAGCAAAAAAAGAAAGAAAGAACAATGAAAGAAATAGAAAGAAAAGGTAAGAAACAAGGAAGAAACAAGAAGATATATAAAAACCGTTTGGATAAATTAACCTCGCCATTGTTGGAATATCTTTAAATAACCCCAACCATCCATATTCGCCTAACAAGACAATCACAGGGGACATAAAAACATTACGTAGTTAGGAAAACACTTGTAAAATCTAAACATGCCCCTTTTCCGGACACCCCACGCAACATCCAAGCATTCCGTTGCATTGTTACTATCAGGTCTTTTGTTAAAACTGTT